ATATTACATTACGAGTGTGGAAAGTGACATTTTTCACACGAGTGGGAAATATTGTCGCACGAGGCGTAAGCCGAGTGCGACTATCACACGAGTGTGGAAAATCACTTTTCACACAAGTGATGTACAATATTTTTCCTACGACCACAAAATAATTTCATCAAAAAATGTAAAACCAGATTATTATAATAATTAAAATGTATTTAAAAAAATAATCAACAATAATCGTATTTATTAAATTTTCATAATTTCTAAACAAATAAAAAAAAATAAAAAAAAAATTCTGGCACAGCCAGGATTCGATCGCGGTCGTTGGACGGTCTCAAATTGCAAAGTTGATGCTCTAACCAACTGAGCTAACAGGCCTTACGGTAATTGATTGATCTAATCGCTTATGTGTTTAACCAGAATAAAAAGCAAATATATCTTAGTTATTTTAAAATTATTTTAAAAATAATTGTTAAAGATAAATATCTAGGATCTAATTTACAATAATTTAACAATCATATCGATTTTAGTATTAATATGGACATTACATAGATCAAAATAGAAATTATGTGTTTGACATTTTCTGACAGCTACTGCGGAAAGTAGCATATTCTCACTTGGGTGGAAAGTAAATTCTTATTCATACGCGTGTGATATAGGGCACTTTCCATAGGTCTATATAGTGTGATATGTGTCACTTTCCTAAGTGGTCGTAGGAAAATATTATTTATCTTTCCTCCATGCAAAATACATTGAAAAATTGCACTGAAGAATTATGGTTAAAATTGTATCTTCCATATCGTCGTCGTCAACGTCTGAGTCCTCCAACAATTCAACATTAAGAAATGCTTTCATTCTGAACAACAAATTTTTGTTAAACATTTTTCTCTTTTACTGTTCAACAATTCAGCGACACGTAAATGTCATCTATACGTTTAAAAACTTCAACTCATATTTTGGACCTCGAGTAAACGTCATTTTGGTACATTTTCGTCTACGTTAACGTACTGAAAATACTTCAACTCTCTATTAAAACTAAAACAATATTTGTTCCAATAAACTTTCTTTTTAATCAAAATGTTATTCAAATCATAATCGCGGTATCATTAAATATTTTCTCTAAGTCTGGCAACGTAGTTTCATCTGTCTATCTAAATTCTAGGATAAGTTTTCGATTGCGAGAGTATTTTAATTTATTTTAAAATTGTTATTTCATTTTTTAAAAATGACCAAAGTACACGGAAAAAAATGTGACTAGAAAATTTTACTACAATGTTGTAGTAGTAGACTTGTAGAAAAATACTTAACTTTTTGTAGAAAATTTTACTACAATTTATAGTTAAAAACTATTCATTATTGTAGCAGTCGAATTGTCGAATAAAATAGGAAAGAAGACCAGAATGTTTAGTATATTTTACTATTGTTTGTAGAAGTAGAAATTTATTACAATTATCGTAATTACTACTACTAACTTCTGTAAAAATTTGTACAAATATTAATTATTATTTCTACAAAAAATAGTAATTTTCTCTACAAAAAATAGTAATACTTTACATTCCTTCTTATGAAACAAATTCAATTTTGTTCAAAAATATTCTATAATATTGTAGAAATTCTAAGTCATGTGAATAAAACAGAATTCTGCTATTGGCCAACGTTTTCTAAAGACGACCATAAATGACCAGACGGCAGTAGCCGATCGCCATGTTCACAAAACAAAGCATGGTACATATATAACAAATTATTATATTATAAGCACCGATGCTTTTGATAAAATTTTAATAATAACTTCTATTTGTGGTAAGAACATTTATTATTGTTTCTGAATAATTTACCTTTAGATAACTAATTTAAATAACCTTAGTAGATTATTTAAAAAAAAATAGTTGTGGCCAACGATCGAATATTGTGCCAAGTTCAATGATGTTTTTTTGTTTTAATTGTGACATACCTACTTTCTCATTTTTATTAGTTATCTGACGTAGTCATTTAATATCCCAATCAGTGTAAAGGTGATAAATATCCCCGTTTTAGGGGTATGAACAGTTTAATAGGTATTAATTTTTATTTCATATTTTTCAGGTGCAGAAAAGCCAACTGAGACTGAGGGAGCTATTATTACTATTATTTATTACATAATGTAATTAAGACTTTGTATCTTTTATACTAGAACAATAAATTTTGATTATTTGATTGAGGAACATTTTTTTAGGTTATAATAATTATGGAATACTACTACAAATTTTATTTAAAATTACTACAATTTGTATGAATTTTTACTATTTATTGTGTAAAATTTTCGTATTAATTTACATGAAACGCAATACATTTTTAATATAAATTCATACAATGAATAGCAAAAATTATAACAATTTGTAGAACAATTCTTATGATGCATTTGGATATTTTTACTACATATTGTAGATAATAACTCTACAATACATTCTCTATAAATATTTGGAAATTTTTACTACAAATTCTCCCTGTCCCTATATGTACTATTTATTGTAGAGAAAAAATGTATAATTGTAGAAATTTGTTCTACAATTTATTTTCCGTGTACAAACACGATTAAAAGAAGAATCTTTAGATAACTTGCCCAAGGTGGATTCTAACATGATTAATATAAAGTTTATTAATTTAGAAATTCGCAACGTAAAGACGAAAATAGTAAGTGCACTTTCTAAACTCCAAATCTTTCTAGAATTATTGTATTCAATGAGATTTGTTTTAAAAAAAGGAACATTTTTTTATTATACAAACTCACTTCTCAATATTGTTGATATTTTATTTTGGATATACCTATTTATTAAGTAAAAACTATTTTATTGAAGGTCTACCAGGGAAGTAGGGCCTTATCATATGTTTGGTTAGCATTTGTAACATTAAAGCTAGAATTATCCCAGAAAACAAAAAGTTTATAGCGTTAGTCAGTAATAAATGAACAAAAAGAAAAGGTCGTATCTTGTTAATTCACAGATTATTCTGCTTTCGAGGGTAATTTCAATTCCTGTCAATATTAAAAAGCTTAAAAATAAACACGAGAAGAGTGACCATTTGCACAAACTCACTTGCATCAATCATGTCAATAAAAAATCATTCCTCATAAAATTCACTGGTCCAAACAACACATGAATCATGTCATCTTCTCATTGCGCAAGGAGTATCCATAACAGTGATTTGGATACCAACACATGTGGGTATACCAGGCTCCGAGGCAGCCGACCGTGCAGCTAAAGAGACTTCTTCATCAAATTTAGCAATGGAAAACATTCAGCTACATAAAGACATCCAAAACCTTTTCAAAAATAATATTAGGAGAACATGGCAAACCCACTGGAATACAATAACATCTAAACTACGTGATATCCAACCAAACATCTGCCCAGACTTTGCGAACCACAGGAGAATCTACAACCTACCACCAAATCTGAAAGAAGTTCTTAGGCCTCAAGACTAAATAATTAATATTATTAAATTCCTAAAAGACATTAATATCCTTCACAAGTTATAAATACTCAATTGTTTTTTTTATAATATTAATATATTTTTTTGTACCTGTGTCAATGACCCTGGCAGTCGAGACACTTTAATTTTAAATAAAGATAGCTTAAAATAATGTATTAAATGATTTTACATGGCTCTAGTTTTTTAAGGTGGGTGCAAACATAGTGTTGCTCTCTTTTTGTGGCTTCTGAACACCATCGAAGTGAATAACCTTCCATCACATTCACATTGTGTCATTAGAAAAGGCGACTGTATTCAACATTTTGAAGTTCTATTGATTTGAGCGTTTCGAATCTTCTTCGAATAAAAAATATTAAATGTGTGCTTTTGGTATATAATAAAAGTGAATAAAATATATATCGAGTGCAATGTGCCAGAAAATTATACCTTAATATTCAACTGCAAATTTTGCTTTCTAAGAATCATAATGGGCTTTTTTGGGTGGAATCTCTAAATTTTTAAATAAATAAGGAAATTCAAATATTAGAAGATTATTTTTGATGAACAAGAACTAAATCATATTATGAAGCCGGCAAATATTTTTTGAAACAGTGCTATATATTTATAATGAATTCAAATAAAAATAGGTTTTGTCGTTTTTTTTTTATAAAAAAAAAACACTTAAATGATTTGCATATTTTAAAGGAATTGTATTTTAAATATATCTATTGACTTTTATTAAATTTATATTAATAATAGGAACGTGTCTGAATATAATATAGGTATAAAACATAAGTTTAATAAATTAACTGTTTATACATATTGTAGGTAATTTATTTATAAATCAAATTAAAAAGAATACAATAAATAACAGGAAATTCAGTTAAAGAGCCCTTAATAGGAATTTTAGGTGATATATTTATGAGGCACATCTTATTTTATGTCAAATTTTTACCCATAATTTTAAAATGGATCCAGTTTTCTGCATCTTCTTCCATCTAAAAAATAATTCAAACTAATTAGTACCCTCCAGTGGTGCATATCCAGAGTTTAAGTTTAGGTGGTAGTGGTAATCAGGGCCACCGAGAGCCATGGTAAGACCCTGGAGCAAAACACTGGCAAGGGCCCGCCCCTTGTCCCTTACATATTAACTAGGGTGTCTTCTTTGTGAAATTTCTAAAAAAAGTCTTCAGCTTGTATTTTTCGTAAACCAGGTCTGCCTCAAAAAAGGTATTGTCTCTTCAAAACATCCTGCAGCGGTTCCCTGCCCCTGTCCCCCTGTCCCCCTGCCCCCCTGTCCCCCTGTCCCCCTGTCCCCATGTCCCCCTGTCCCCCTTGTCCCCCTGCCCCCCTGTCCCCCTGTCCCCCTGTCCCCCTGTCCCCCTGTCCCCCTGTCCCCCTGTCCCCCTGTCCCCCTGCCCCCCTGTCCCCCTTGTCCCCTTGTCCCCTTGTCCCCCTGTCCCCCTTGTCCCCTTGTCCCCTTGTCCCCTTGTCCCCTTGTCCCCTTGTCCCCTTGTCCCCTTGTCCCCTTGTCCCCTTGTCCCCTTGTCCCCTTGTCCCCTTTGTCCTCATTGTCCCCTTGTCCCCTTGTCCCCTTGTCCCCTTGTCCCCTTGTCCCCTTGTCCCCTTGTCCCCTTGTCCCCTTGTCCCCTTGTCCCCTTGTCCCCTTGTCCCCTTGTCCCCTTGTCTCCTTGTCTCATTGTCTCTGTGTCTCCTTGTCTCCTTGTCTCCTTGTCTCCTTGTCTCCTTGTCTCCTTGTCTCCTTGTCTCCTTGTCTCCTTGTCTCCTTGTCTCCTTGTCTCCTTGTCTCCTTGTCTCCTTGTCCCCTTGTCCCCTTGTCTCCTTGTCTCCTTGTCTCCTTGTCTCCTTGTCTCCTTGTCTCCTTGTCCCCTTGTCCCCTTGTCCCCTTGTCCCCTTGTCCCTTTGTCCCCTTGTCCCCTTGTCCCCTTGTCCCCTTGTCCCCTTGTCCCCTTGTCCCCTTGTCCCCTTGTCCCCTTGTCCCCTTGTCCCCTTGTCCCCTTGTCCCCTTGTCCCCTTGTCCCCTTGTCCCCTTGTCCTCCTGTCCCCCTGTCCCGCTGTCCCCATTTCCGCCTGCCCCCTGTCCCCCTGTCCCCTGCCCCCTGCCACTATTCCCCCATGCATACATGCCCCAATGCCCCCATGCATACATGCCTCACTGCCCCCTGCCCTCCTTGTCCCAAATAATGGGCTTCTGATTTGAACAGAGAACATTTATTGTGATTGGAAAATACTGTCAAATACTTCACTCAAATTTATTAGATGTTTGTCAAAAGTTTTTGACATGATCATTATGTCATCGAGATATACCTGACAATTTTTGCAGGTTAATAATTTCAATACCATTTCCATTAGTCGTTTAAAGATAGCTGGGGCATTACAGAGACCAAACGGGAGAACCTGGATTTTGTATAATTCGCTGCCTGATATTTTGTCATCATGTTTAAAGTGGAAAACCATTTCGCACCTGATAGAGTGTTTAGTGTATCGGGTAGTGGATTTTTGGGTAGCTGTATTTTTGCGTAATCTGTTTTAATATCCTATAGTCTACGCAGAAATGAGTAGATCCATCTTCCTTGTTACTAGAACCACGGTTGAGCACCAGACACCAGAAGTTTTTTCAATAATATTTGCATTCATCATGTCCTGTATCATATTTGCTACTTCTGTCTTTTTAGCAAATAGGAGTGCAAATAGGTGCTTGCCTCATTGGCCTTGCATCACTTGGTAAAATTCTATGCTGGACAAGACTGGCACGCCCCGTATATGTTCCTGTTTCGAAAATGTCACATTTAGTATATTGATAAAGTCTTTGACTTCTTTTAGTTCTTCAGCTGCCAGGTGGTAACAATTTTCAACTAGCTGTTTCATCCAGCTGGCGTCAACTGATTTACTTGTGCCAGCTTTTCCCGTGGAACGGTTTTTGCACTTGATTATGTTTTACACCAGTGTAGAGAGTCATATTTGTTGTCCTTTCTTTAGTTTGCATGGTCTCTTCGATAAATTGGCAACCCTTACTGGAATTAGTTGATCTACGTTAACGAGACATCTAGTTACCAGAATTCCTTACTCACAAATTCTTTACTTTCCACAATGCCTACACGTAAGTTCTATATTTTTTCGCTAAGCCTTGCCAAGACAACAGCTTCACCATTTTAGTCCACTAGGACTTTTATCGGTTGAGTTTTTTCCTCCGAGTTTAGGACAATTTCTTTGTTTTCAATTACCATAATCTTATTTTGACGGTCGATGATAAACTTATTTTGCATAATTTTCCGTTCCAACTCTAATCTAGTATTTTGTTGTTGTTTTAAATTCGCTTGTTGTTGCTCTAAATTAGTTTTTAAATTCTTTTGCTACTGTTCTAAATTTGTTTTTAAATTCTCTTGCTCTAAATGACCTACTAAAATTTTAAGCTGACCAACCGTTTGTTTGAAGGATTTGTGGCAAATCATTCATAATTTCCATCGCTTCTTTTCTAAGCCTTTCTTCCTCATCCTTTCTGTGCCTTTATTTCTTCTCTTCTTCGTCCTTCCTGCGCCTTTCCTTTTTCTCTTCGTCGTCCTTTATACTTATTTTCTTTTCCTCTTCTTCCTACTTTCTGCGCCTTTCCTTTTCCTCTTCTTCGTCTTTCATGTACCTTTTCTGCCTTTTCTGCGTCATTTCTGCATATTTCCTGCCCTGCATATTTCCTGCGCATTTTCTACGCCTTTCCTACGCGTTATCTGCACGTTTCTTTTCTCTGATCTTTCTCTTTCCTGCGTCTTTCCCTTTCCTCTTCTTCCGCCTTTCTGCGCCTGTCTTTCTCCTCTTCTCGCCTTTCCTCTGCCTTTTCTGCATCTTTCCTGCATATTTCCTGCGCATTTTCTACGCGTTATCTGCACGTTTCCTTTTTCTGATCTTTCTCTAATCTTTCTCTTTCCTGCGTCTTTCCCTTTCCTCTTCTTCCGCCTTTCTGCGCCTGTATTTCTCCTCTTCTCGCCTTTCCTCTTCTTCCTCCGTCCTGCGCCTTTTTCCTTCTACATCTTGTTTAAAAACCATGCTGGGGGGCTGAAGTATCCACGTCTGTTTCGTACGTGGATCTAGTATTTACCACGAATACAAGCATTATGGATAACTTTTATTTTGTATCCCATTGCTGTTACCAATTGTTACTTTGGTTTTTGGTAAACTCAATTTATTTTAAACTCATCTTTTACAATATTAAATTATTAACGACTTATATAGCCCTTGAACCATTTCGACCCTTCTAGATGCTTCTTGACATGAAATGACATTTCTAGACTGTTGTCTATTCTTCTATTAATTGTACTTATACTTATGACGACCGCAGCACAATGCAAGGAGATAAGTGACATTGCACTTCTTCTTTTATTCGTACGTTTCTTATAACAGCCGCACGCTACTGAAACTGCAGGGTAACAATAATAAGTTGAGCGCAATGTATGTTTAACTATAAGTTTGAATTAAACCAACATGCTCACAACTTTGAATACATCTTTCAGTTGGCAGTAGACAATATGGTAACCTGAAAATATGAAAAATCTTGTTACGCTACTGACGTACTGACATTGATCTTTTTATCATCTTAGATAAAACGAAAAGAAAGAACTTAATTCAGGGGTGTAATCAAGTTACAATAGAGAAAAAGATGACATTAGCACGAAAGAGAGCCATTTCGCGAGTTTTTTTACGAACAGGTTCAAAAATGGGTCCAACCGTGAGGCGGAGTCCGATAAGAATAAATAATTGCAGATTGAGGTTATGCCAGCAATTGAAATGGAAACTTAAGAGCAATACGTTTTGTACTTAATGGGCAAATGAGTTATAAAAATTATGGGAATGTATAATTTGTTGGGCGTTTCGGCGTTTCGAGAAAATAAGAATGCAGAATAAATTGTAATAATTTAAATATGTTACGGCTGGCAGCATTTTAGCTCGAAAACGATTACACGCTCAATTTTTATCCAATTCCGAGCCTACTTATACCAGAGCTTTACAAAATTGTATTTTAAAGGAGATAGTTAATTCGCTATTCAAACAATAAACTTTTTTAATTTAAACAAAAAATATACTTAGTTGAAAAACTAGATAGTTTATCATTTTTCCTTTTCTTGTTGCTTCTTATTCATTACATCATCTACATAAATAATTATTGTCTGCTGAATTTTACAAGACTACTTATTTTAAAAGAATAGGACATAATATAATGACAATGGCGCTTTAATCCTTTTGATGTTTTCGTCTATTGTCAGGTTTTGTCTTAATTCAGTATGTGTTAATTCTTTAAAATATGGACTCGTCTTTTGAGACTTGTATCGTACCGTATTTGCTCCCAATCAGGCTTGAGTTCCCGCCTGTGGTGTTCGAATGGTGGCATTACAAGTTTATTGTACCATAATTTGAATGCATTACTCCTTCCCATTCATTCAAATCTTGCATTCTACTCATATCCCAGTATAATTATTAATACAGTAGCGACAGCTTGAGTCGGCTCCTTTGATGTCGGAGTGGTCAGATTTTTATTGACAGTTGATGTTTTTTCCGCTTATTACTGCACTGAGAAAAGTAACTTCAAAATGTCTTCTTTGTCTGTTTGAATAAAATATCGCACATATAATTTACACAATGTCGTATACATTATTATTACCTCGATTAATACAGTACACATTTAAATTTTAGAAATAACGCAAAATTATGCTTACTTAACCCTTAATTTGGCCAGCTTAGATTAATAAGGCTTTTTGTGTAAAATATGACCTTTGCTGGTGTAGAGTGTCTAAGAAAGCATTTTTGCCATTTTTTCGATTATTATTTTACTAATCTGTCAAATATGACATGTAGCCTATAAGGCACATTACCATATGTCTAGATATAATGGATTCTTCTATTTTGTGTCCTGTAGGGTACATAGTTAAGACCAGAATTGCGACTAAAAGTAAAACAAAAACAATTATTTAATAAAAAAAAATATAATTAGGTGAAAATTAAAAAACAATTCTCAAAAATGTGGTAACAATAAAAAAACAATACTGTCTAATGTTCATTATGGAAATTATGGAAGCAGTTTCTCTCTTTAACTAAACATAACCTAACTGAGCATTTGGAACAGGACCAGTGTGTCTTTCTAGATTGACAATGCCCGGCTTCTGCCTTTTGTTTCATAAATTGGAAAATGATTCACTTTACCATAGCTAGTATCATTAGATGGCCTTGGGAAGAATAGCAGTTTTTATTTTTTTAACTCCTATGTCATCTTGAGGCTTTTTTATCTCTACGATACATTAACCAAGCATTATTTATGCAAATGTTTATCATTCACCCAAATATTGAAAGGTACTAGCGGCGTGTATTTAGAGGAATTCTGTATAGTCTAATCAACATGTCCATTAGATCAATTCCACCCATGTAAGAGTTGTAGTGTTTTACAATATTTGGACATGGTATATCAATTCTTCCTTTTTGATTTTTGTCATACCGTTTGATGGTTCTAACAGGTGTAGAAGAGACATATGTACTTGCCAATATAACTGCTTTGTTGTCAAACCATTTAATAGTAAATATCTTATTAGTGTTATCACATGCATATGCATACGAAAACGCTCCTCTACCTTTTTTCTTTAACAGTTTGTCTTCTTCCAAAATGCAATTTTTTAGCCGATTTGCTCTCATAGTCCCCAATGCTAAAATCTCATACTTGTGTCGAAGAGTGTAGAACAAATCAAAATCTGAGAAAAAATGATCGACAGACAACGCCGGTAATTTCATAGACTGCGTTAGAGCCAGAACAACTTTAGCTCCAACGCCGAATGATTCTTCCTTTTCCGAAAAAATATGTTGTCTAAATGTGTCATCTCCCCCATAGATGATAAAATCGTAAACCAACTCTCAAATACCAGCTTTGATAAATATTTTAAAGCCCCATTTTTTTGGTTTAAAATTGTCTCCGTGAACCTGCCTTTTTACCCTTCATCAATGCTTTGTCGTGTCTCTTCTTCGATATTGATACAATTCCTTCTAATTATATCTAAAACAGGTCTTATCCTGTAATACTGATCACTGTTTATATGATCATTGTTAGCAAAATGTATAAAGCGGCGAATTTGTT